TCGAATAGTAATTTGAAAGTCATTTTCAATGGGTTAGAACGACAAAAGAAGTTAGTCGGTTGTGATTTAGCAGTAAGGGTGGTTGCCAACCTCGACCGCATATTAATCGCCTAAGCTCGTGCAGTATGCGACACCACGGCCAATTTGGGAGCTTAAAAAGTACCCTCTCTATCTCTATCTCTCATTCTCTCTCTTTCTCTTTCTCTCTGACTAGAATTTCGTGGCCAACGAAAAAAGACTAACATTATAATATGATTAATGTTTTTTCAAATATCATTTTGTTCGAATAATAAAATGTGACAACGAGTAATGGTTAATGTAAAACATTGAGATATTTGAACAATCGTCAAACGTAACGTGTAATTAGGGGGGGGGGGAGGAAGGTGGTTAGGAAATGTTGATGGAAAAAAAATCGATAACCGATTGGTAAATCGATGAAATCATCTCCATTTTGGGGATCTCGATTAGGAACGATACGAAATGATAAGAAATGTTTAAACGTGCTTTATCGTTGAATTTAGAACACATATATGTATTCGTGTATGTATATATATATGGATGTGTGTATATGTATTGAGAAAGGTGGCAGTAGTGAAGCACGGTGAATGACCAGACAGCTGAAGGCTCGATCAACCATGTTCCCGGATATTACTGATACCGAAGAGTATTCGATTTGAACGTAACTGGGAAGTTTCATCCGATTAAATGGCACGCAACAACTTGATGAATCTTCTCTGGATTGGTAATAGGTACTTTCACGAGTCAATCAAAGATCGTTTCATAGAAATCACAAAATCTTTATCTATTCCTTTTGATATCCGATATGAAAAGAAACGTATCTCTGTCCCATCATTTTGATCACATTTCAAATCTGCATCGGATTAATGAACATTTTATATTAGTTAATATTCTAAAAATAAATCTTTGTTATATTGCTATTTAAAAATCATTATTATTTTTCTAACAAATAATCAACACCAATACATTTCATTGTCTTTCAGCTTTTCAAAGAAACATATTTTATTTCTTCCACATTATATATATATATAAGTATTCCCATGGTATTATCGAAAAAATTCAAATTCTAGTCCAGTATCTCGCGTTTATATTCGTTTAATTAATTACATAATACAATCATGCATTTAACAAATATAAATGTTGATAGAATTTTCATTTCGTTAGATATCAAACGAATAAGATACATATATTATTATTTGGTAAATATTAGTTAGCTATTAGAAGGATTATTACTTTCGATACGAATTTAGGTTTAAACAATAATCGAAGATTTTTATCGTTTGTCATTAGAACGCAACACTCCGTTGTGGCAGATGAATCGAAATAGAATTGCAAGTGGTAACCTCATGCGAGCGGAATTGTTGCAGTTTCATCAATCACCTCAATAAGCGCGCGCATTAATAATCGACCGCTATTAAATATGCATCGGTTGTTTGCCGTGTGGATTGCCTATCCTCTTCCCTCCCCTCCCCCCCCTCCCCATCCTTCTGTTCCACCTCTTTCTATTTTTCCCTCCCTTTCCCCGAACATCGTTATTGCCTACTTCTCCACTCGAGATGTCAGTTACTAATTGTCTTTCTCGAGAGGGCCCCCGCGTATTTTCGAACGAGGACGTGAAAATCATTGATCCATGATGGTATGCCGCCTGTTTTTCCATCTGTTTGTCTGTCTGTGTCGAGTCAACACAACGATCGATCGAATCTTTTTATTTCTTTCCCTATCTTTTATAAATAAAATACAAGTATATATATATTTTTCATTTCTATCTTTTTCTCTCTCGTATATTAATCAATCTCAACGATTACTACGACACGGAAATCTCGTTCGAATTCAAACTACGTTGATCGTAATATTTTTTCGATCAAGGGGGAAAAAAAAGAAAATAAACAGCAACAACAACAACAACAATAACAAAAGAAGAAGCATTCCACTTTAACGAAGCGTATCTCGGTGTTCACCCTTTCTAGAAAAAAAAAAAAGTATAAAGAAAAAAAATCAATTCTCGCATCGGCGAATAATTTTCAGCTCTTAAAACTATTACGGTTCGTTGATTTATCATCGGAGTATTACCTGTTTGTTTTTTTTTGTGTTTTCTTTTTCCTTAACGTAGATTAATATTTTCTCATTTTAATCAATTTATTATTACCTATAACGCGCGTGTGTGTTTCGATGTCGTAGTGTGCGCGTCAACGTTTGCCACCCTTTCTCGTTGTAAATTCTACGAAATAAGTTGTCGCGTTGCTAACTTTAAAATCCACGTCGACACGTGGGGAAAGTAACACGAGGAAGTGGGGCTAGGGAAATTTGGTTTTACTCGTAGTTTCTTGTAAAGCGTGTGTGTGTGTGTGTGTGCGCGCGTGTTTTCACCCATTCCCTTCCGGGTAAGTGGGTCAGAAGACCGCGGTGAGTCGAATGACTTGGCACGATTTTTCTCGTTTCCGAGTCAGACTATCCGATGCTTTTTCACGTGAAGAAAACACGACGATTCGCGACCGGATGAGACATACCACTGACGTTTTCAACCCCTTCTCCTCCCCCTCCTCCTCCTCCTTTTCCTTTTCCTCCCACCCGTTTTCTCTTCGAATCACCGATCACTTCACCCGTCCACCGAACATTCGTCGAACTTACAACTCCGAAGAAAGATAACAAACAGGAACGTTGATGCTTTTTCCACCCCCCTCAAACTCCCAACCCCTCCATTTCCCTTTATTCGTTCTTCTTAAAAACGATTGATATTTTCCACATGTTTTCGAGATAAGAGAATGAACGTTATTCCGTTCGTCTATTTTCGATAGATAAAATTGCGAAACGATCTTCGGTTAAGATAAATCTTACAACTACATAGATATATATATATATATATAAATTCGATCGATATCGGTACGATATTTATTTGTAAACGTTCGATTTTGTTTTATTTTTGTCTCCCCTTTAAGTCGATAAATTTAACGAGAAGAAATTTGGAACAATGAAAAGTGGAAGATCGTTCCTATCTCTCTCTCTCTCTCTCTCTCTCTCTCTTTCTCTCTCTCTCTATCTCTTTCTTTTACTCTTTAAAACAGAATCAAAAGATGTTGGTAAATCCGAGAGGGATGCCTTTCGTGATAAGAAAGAGGACGATTTGCCGGTGGTCCAGAAAATGGGAAGAGATCTACTAGCCGGAAGATAGATAGATAGATGAACAGAGAATAAGAGAGAGAGAGAGAGAGAGAGAGAAAGAGAGAGAGAGGGGTGGGATAAAGAGGGGAAGATTTGGAGTTCTGCCACATCGGGAGCACCCTCCTGCCTCGAGAGCTCTACTGTGATCACCGATACCACACTACAGAACCTTCGCGGTTGGTACTCGTAGGGTTTGGAGGAGCCCGAAGAGAGGCACGACCCTTGAGAAGGAAACAGGTGGAACGAGACGAGACTCTATACTTCGAAGAAAAGCGTAAATATTGATAATTTCAGCTAACTATACATATTTCCTATCTGTCTATACCTAACTAGTATATTACCATATCGATTATATACCTATTCGAACAATTATGCAATTCGATATCATTTATACACAAATTTACAAGAGTATTATCTTACATTCTTGTTAATTATTTTATTCTTAAACTTGTGAATTAATGTATAGTTGAATGAATGTATATAGATGTGATATTTCTTTGAAATTTAACAATTGCAACGTATATATATATAGTTATGCATTTATTTGATAGTAAAAAAGTAAAAGAAAACAAAATACGTTTCTTAACTTTTTCAGTTATACGAATAAAAAATAGGTTTAAGAAAATAAAGAATAATAAATAAAGACAATCTTAATTTTTTATATAGATTGATTAAATGATATAGAACTGTTTAATTTTAACGAAACACATTTGGATAGTTATCTGTGAAATATCTTTAGTTAAGGAATATACTAATCTGGAATAGTTTGAGTTTCTCGTAGAGTAGGATGTTCGTTGACATAAGCGAGGTGATACGAGTCAGGGTGGTTGTAATACGCGTCCGAGGAGCTTTACATTTCCGTACATTTACATACACAACCACGAGGGTATTTCAAGCTCTCTCGGTTACGTGTCTCTCTCGTTGCCGTCGGTCGTAACTAACATAAGCGTAATGACACCTCGTACGAATCGTCTCAGACTATTTCTAAACACCGGTCTAACATTTTACTTCTCTTTTTTTCTCCTCTCTTTCTCTCCCTCTCTTTCTTTTTATTCAGAAGGTATTCTTGTTCCGTGATAACGATCGAGCCACATTTTTCCAACACAAAAACGTCGAAGTTATCTCACCGAGGAAAAACACGGAAAAACCGAGAAAATCGACGAAAGAGACGAAAGAAAGAGAGAGAGAGAGAGAGAGAGAGAGAGAGAGAGAGAGAGAGAGAGAGAGAGAGAGAATAGGATACAAAGCGCGTGGTCGAGCGTAGATAAAACGAAATGAGGGCAACGTTGCGAATCCGCCAACGAACATATCTCACGCGTACAAAGAGAGAGAAATACACACACACACACACATAGGCAGAGAAAGAAATATCCTGACTTTTTGGACAATTTCTAAAGAAATGATTTCACGAACTTGTAAAAGATCGATTCACAACACACATAATTAATCATCAATGAATGAGAAATGTGAATAGAAACACAAATGTTTTTTTAACACGTGTATCGAAAAATTTCAAATTATCGAAAGTGGGCACAATTTGTTTTCCCTTTTTGTTTTCTCAATCTCGCAAAAATTCACCACATTCAATATAATTAATAATTTAATTATCAATATTCTTGTCCACAAATATGTTATTAATATATAAGTCTCAAAGGGAGTTATAGACGGTTAATAAATCTTATGAACAATTAATTTGAACTAGTTGTACGTTTCGTCCCTTACTGGGGACTTATATATTAATAATTAATAATATATGTAATCTATAGAGAAAAAGAGATTTAATAATGATTAAGATAAACATAAAAATGAAAGTTGTTACTTACGCAGCGTGGGCGAAGGGTGCCCAATGAGTGGCAGGCAGCAGTGCCACCGTGGCCGCGAGAAGGGCGAAGCTCCAGGAGGCTGCGTGCAAGGACCTCATGTTCGTCGTTGATTCCCTACGTTAACGCGTGCGAGTCCTTTTTTCTTTTTTATGTATGTGTATGTGTGTGTGTGTATAAATATGTATAAGTATTTTGTGTTAAATAATATTAACCAATTGTCGTGTAAGTTTCTATCACACGCGTTTACATGTATATGTATATGTATGTATATTAGTGTAACGCGTGTTGTATGTTTTTTTTGTTATGTAAGTGTGAGTGAGTGAGTGAGTGAGAGTGTGTATGAGTGTTTGTGTGAAATCGTACGCGTCCTGGCCGCGAACGATGACGACGGCCAAGTCGGCCTCGAAGGCTGCGACAAGGACAACGGCAGGGACGACGGCAAGGACGACGGCAAGGACGACGTCGACGGGTGTCCTGAGGCGTTGCTACCTGGCGCGTTGACCCGGCGCCTCTCTGCGTCCTGTCCGCGACTCACCCTCCCTCCCTCCCGCCCGCCCGCCCCGCCTTCCAACCTCCGTCTTGCTCCCTCTCGAAGCCTCTCCTCTTCTATCTATCTCTCCCTCTCTCTCTCTCTCCCTCGCCAACTATCTTTATGTCTCTTTATTCTTCCTTTTTATTTTATTTCTATCTTTCTTTAAAGACTTCTTTTTCTTATTCTTTCTCTTCTTTTGTCCTTTCCGACGATTCGATACAACAAAAATTTACGTTTATCGTGAATATCCCCTTGTTCTTCTTTTTTTATTCGAATATTTTCTATCTCTCTCGTTTATCTCGTATTATTATTATTAATATTATTATTATTGGAGAACACTGTGTCACTTTTTCACAAAATGAATTATTCGTAGCACTTATTAATGATCATATTATTAATAATAATTCTTACGATATAATATTACGTAAAAATATTATGGATGTAATTTTTGATTAACACAATATCACACAATGAAATAAATAGGTGAATGGTTTTTCGATAATAACGAGGAGAAAATAGTAGCAACAACAGTAGTAGCAATAGCAGCAGCAGCAGCAGCATCAGCATCAGTATCAGTATCAGCTTCAGCAGCGGCAGCAGCAGCATCGAACGCGTGAAAACACTCCATAAACGCGAGACTTGTTTCAGAAGGGTAGAATAGTATTCTCGATTAAATCCTAGTTCGTTTAATGACCGATGATAACGCGTCGCGAATCATAAACGGTTCAATTTCGTTCACTGTTATAAGACACACCAGTTTCTATTATTATTATTACTTTTTTTTGTTTTTTTCTTCTTCTTCTTTCATAGAGTTGTTTTACTCACACTGATGATTTCAAAATTTCGTTTCTCCTATTAATAATTTTTCACACGAAAGAGAAAACTAGGGTTATAATAAGAATTGTTTTCTCGCACTTTCTCTCTCTCACCCTTTCTCCCTTTCTCTCTCTCTCTCTCTCTCTTTGTAGTTTTAACATAGGCAAGAAGATAGGATTAGTTAGTAATCTTTTTTGACAAGGTTTCGTAGTAGTAACACCTCGAACAAATATATATCGTTCCTTTTCGTATCTCCGACAACTTCAAAAGGGTTTCACCAAGAGAATTGGGAAAATGACGCGCGGAGAGAGAGAGAGAGATAACGGGGAACGACACAGTGATACATATATAATATACTTATATATATATATATATATATGTATATAAGATATATGTATATATATATATATATATATATAAGTATATAAGAGGGACGTAGAAATAATAAGTATTATTATAAGAGAGAATTTACATAGAGGACGATATACATTCCTCCCCTTTCCCGAAACGAATAAATTCTTCTTACTTTTCCTCCACCCTTTATTTATATTTTTTTGTTCTTCACCTTTCTTCTATCCAACACCTTCGCGAGATTATTTTCTTCAAGACACACGACAATTAATAATAATATAATATAACTCTCTTGAAATAGCTCGTACTTATTCGACGACGAATTCCCAATTCGATCGCCGGCTGATTTCTTTGGCCGGCATCGGTAGGATTTTTATTACAACAACGACACTGGACATTTTTCAGGATAACCGAGTCGTCCTTCTCCTCCTCTTCCTCGTCTTCTCGATTTCTTCCTCGTACTTTCTCGCCTCGGATACGTGGTCCTGGTGTTTCTCGTCGACGTCCACGTCGACGTGTCGTCCTGTTGTTCGTCTTTGTCTTTGTCTCCGTCCTCGTCCTCGTCCTCGTCCTCGTCCTGGTCGTCTTTGTCGTCGTCCTTGTCCTCGTCGTCGTTTTCGTTGTCGTCTTCCTCGACAACGAAGCTTCTATCTCTTTCTAATTCTCGTTAACTTCCTTTCTCGTGCTTTCTCTCTTTCTCTTTCTCTCTCTCTCTCTCTCTCTCTCTC